ATATTCACAGGAAACTACACATGTTGCACACTTCGTTATATTCACAGGAAACTACACATGTCGCACACTTCGTTATATTCACAGGAAATTACACATGTCGCACACTTCATTATATTCACAGGAAATTACACATGTCGCACACTTCGTTATATTCACAGGAAACTACACATGTTGCCCACTTCGTTATATTCACAGGAAACTACACATGTCACACACTACGTTAAATTCACAGGAAGATACGGAAGTCACATACTACGTTATATTCACAGAAAATTACAATTATACTTACCCAAATTTGCTTGTGTTCGTGTTTTCTAGCACTTTAACGTGTTCATATCAAGTTAATATAACTGAATGAATATGCTATTAAGCTTAGTACCCTCATTTCATTAAAGAGAAGACAAAAAAAATCCCTTGTAAATTCATACGTTTAGCGAAGACTGTTGTTGAGGATAGTGTATATTGGAATATAAGTATTTTTTGGTGGAAGAACAAGGCTAAACATTTGATGAGAAACATAATCTACTGAACTTGAACAAAAAGTCGGTTCTATGCTATTTTTTAAGCTTGGTGAATTGATTAGATTAAAAGACATTAACTTCATTTATTTTTTATTTTTTTATTTTATTTTTTCTTGTATTTTAATCTACTTGATTGGTTGTCTAGCTTTTTTTTTCTGTAACACTACATAAATAAAATATAAACGGGAAAGTTTATTTGTCACTGCCTACTACAAATTTACAAGAGATCTTAACTTACGTTTGATAAAATTATAACTTGTCGAGAACTTGCAAGGCTATTCATTCACTTAGTTTTTCATGAATTAATAATGAAGAACACCGTATTGAAATATATGAAATACTTCAATCAAAATTAATTTGGATAGATGTTGCTTCGTTTCGTTATACTTTAAAACTGGTAGTTACATCAGTAGTGAAACACGGTTTTACTATGCCTGCTTCTTCAGACATGGCGCCATCTCGCATATAAAACACGAACGACGCATCTTGGAATATGCGTTTAAACAGTGTTTTTCAAACTTTTTTGGCCACGGAAATAACGGTGTAGAGAGTATGTTGCACGCGCAGCGCCCTCTACATTTGTATATTATTCATCTATTTATTTAATCAAATTACATATTCATGAATTTTTACATTTTTATGTTTGTAATATATTTTAGGTACAAACCTCTCTACTAAGATATTATGTAGAATATATATGGTATCTTCTATAATTCTTCTTCAATGCGAAATCTATATTATCTAATTATAATACATAGGAAAATATTTCATAATAAGTTATGATCGTACAAAAAGTGTTAAATATTTTATTAAAATTTAAAATCATGATTTTCTCAAGGAGCACCTAACAATCTCGGACGGAACACCAGTGTTTCGCGGAACATAATCTGGGAATCGCAGCGTATACGAATATATAGAGCCTTACTTATCATTAAGCAGGAAGTTATTATATATGAACGCATTGTGCTAGTTAGCTGTATGTAACATGTACCTGGTGTCAACAGTAGGTAATATATTATTGTATATAAGTATGAATGGTGCCAATTAACACACCAGGTACTACACATAAATATGTGGTGCTAGTTAATATTAGTATTAGAAATATACTGACAAATATTTTAATTACTACAAATATAGATAAATAAATATAAAAAAAACAACTAGTATCGCTCAAAGAAAGTGTTATTCAAAGTTTCCATTGTTAAGGATCTTATTAGGAGATGTATCTTAGAAACAGGAACGATGTGTTTGTTTTGAACCCATATTTTCGAAAATGAAGTGTCTCTAATATATGAAGATATTGGTTTGTTACACCCGTGTATCATTATATGTAAAAATTATCATAATTTTTGTGTTATCTATCTAGTAGTAGTAGTAGTAGGTAGCAAAATGTTATTTTATTTTATTTAGATCACAAGGACAGTAACTGACATCAACGATTAAATTTGATCTCATTCGAATAAACGTAACAATAGAGTGTATGGTCACTGTGCAACAATAACGTTGATAATGATTTAAATCACTTTATTATTCATTGAGCCAATATGCGTTTTTTGGTATATGGTACTACTGATGAATAATTCTACTCACTTCCAGACTTATCAGGTCAATTGGGTTACAACTTAGTCATAATTGAAATACAGAACGTCTTAGCTGGTGAAGCGTAACGTAGTAATATTGTGTGAGTGCAATAATTTAAACGGCATCATAGTGCATAATAAGGAATTTGGGTTGTGTATTTAAAACAATCTATTGTCATTTATGAAGGAATCAAAATACGCTTCATTTCTTTGAACATAACTGACAACTTTCGTTACTTAAGCATGCTAATTGAAAAGAAACATTTGTTTCCAACTGCAATAAATTGTTATATTTTAAAGTGTATGATCTATAAAACGGTAGAAAAACTTTATAGTTGTGCGAGAAAGATATAAGTCTGAAATCACTAATGTACGGTATATTATATTCTACTTTCCATACACACTATCAAGTTTCCTTTCGAAAGGTCTAATCAAGGGACAATGGAATGAGGTGTTTTACGAAAGACTAGAGCATCTTGCTGTGACACTAGTAATTTTTCAATATAAACCAATTGGCCTTTTGCGTGTCAACAGTGCTTAACGTCACAGTGGAAGGGAAAACGCGCGTGTGCGAGTCTATTAATTTATTGTTGTGCTCCACTGTTTGGTGGCTGTTAGGCCTATATGTGACTTGGTCACATGACAGATAGGCATCGCCTTGATTTGACAGCATAGAGAACGGGAAGTACTGAATTTCATGAACTGAATGGAAGTTGGTTATGTGAAAAAAAAAATGACAGAAATATGGGAGGAATGAATAATAACGTGAAGTGCTGGAAACACACACATGTGAGATTGACGAAAACTGTTCCTCATTTCTCATACATATGTGTTTTTATGCCAATGTTTTTATATTTCTCAATAGGTATGTACGTATTTGTGTTTGAATGTAACTATGCGCACAGTAGATCACGCAATAAACAGCCTTTTTTTTGTCTAAAATTCAAAATGTTAGTAGTGATAACGTTCCAGAAAGTTCTTTATTTTTATGACCGAACTAATGGTTCTACAGTAAATAAACTATCGTTTAAAAGAGGGTTTGAACGTTTTAGAATATCTCAATTATAACCCTCTTTTCTATTTTTAAAAGAAGTGTTAATATCTGAGCTTCCAAAAAAGAATAATCATCTTTCAGACCAAGAGAAAAGCGTGAACACTTGATCATCAAGGAAACCTGTAAAGCTTTCAATTTCTAGCAAAGATTTTATAGATGCAAGTCATTACGTCGACATTAACAACTTCAAGCATAACACACTGTCCACATCAGAAATAAAAAATGTATATTTGTAAGCAAAAATTGTTTAATGATGTTAAAACATATCTTATGACGGAAGGAATTATTTCAGTTTATCACCTTGTACAAATCGAGGGTGTTCATTTCATTCTACATGAACAATCAAACGAAAAAAGTGAAAATATAAACCATTCAGCATTTGTGCATTTGAGTGTAAATTGATGTTTTTTAAAGCATATTTTTTGAACAGGTATATTAAACAAAGATTGGACATGTTAGTTACAAGGTATTTCAAAGCCACATGTTACAGTATACCTAGTTATGTTAAAGAGAGTTTGGATATGATATAAGGCATATCAAAACCACATGTTACAGTATACCTAGTTATATTAAAGAGAGTTTGGTGTGATACAAAGTATTTCAAAATCACATGTTACAGTATACCTAGTTATATTAAAGATAGTTTGATATGATACAAGGTATTTCAAAACCACATGTTACAGTATACCTAGTTATATTAAAGAGAGTTTTGATATGATACAAGGTATTTCAAAATCATATATTACAGTATACCAAAGCATACTCAGTTATATTAAAGTTTGCATATGGTAAGAGGCATTTCAAACCACGTTCTACAGCATATCCAGTTATATTCAAAATGTTTGGATATGGTACAAGGCATTTCAAAACAACATGTTACAGGGTATCCAAGCGTACCCAGCTATATTAAAGGAAGTTTGGATATGGTAGAAGGTATTTTCAAACCACATGTTACAGTATACTCAGTTATATTAAAGAAAGTTTGGATATGGTACGAGGCATTTCGAAACCACATTTTACTGCATACCCAGTTATATTAAAGAAAGTTTGGATATGGTACATGGTATTTTAAAACCACGTGTTACGGTATACCCAGTTTTATATTTCTGTTTTCTTTTGCTGACTTTGTTTCCTGCTGTGGAACTAATAAGTTGTCGGGAGTGACTTAACAAAGTGAATTTGCGAAACGTAAGAACATTAAGCATTTCTAAGCATTACCAGACATTTTATGTACTTTTTAAAAAATCGAGAATCACACTTCAGCTTTTCAATGAATTAATGTACGTTTATTGCACTTTCATCCTCCACGAGGCGCCATTGTGTCTTTCGTGTAACGATCACAGTCACGATGGAAGTTTGTAGTTTTGGCTTGATAAATTGTACATGTCAAACGATAACTTCCTCTCATCGTTCAGTATGCAGAGCTCACCGACTAACGTGTAATGTGAAGGCATGTGCTCCAATATGATGAGATTTTTTCATTCGAGTTATATGCGAGTGAGTCTATGCGTTCGATTGGATGCGTGCACGTGCCTATATATTTTAAAGTGTATATTCTGTGTGCATAAATCAATATTTCATACGAAAGTGGTAGCTAGTAATACTTGATTTATATATATGAATAAACAGATAAACAGACAAATAAAATTTCTAGACTGTATCAAAAGTATAATAACTTTTCTGAGTTATATTTTAATTTTGGGCATCTTCTTCCAATATTTCATTGTCAATCCGGTGCTCTGATTCTGTAAAAAATGTTTTGTTTTGTTTGATTATCTGTGTAATCTATTTCTTTCTTTTCAATCCGTATATTAGACATAATGTCTTCCTCTATCTTCCATATAGGCATAAGAGGAAAGTCCAGAATTTTCTTCCTTCTAAGAGTGAGCACCAACCTCCTTGTGATATCCCCAGTTCTAATGGAGTGACGTATGATGATGTACTGATCAGTCATCATCCTACTCGGATACCTACTCACCACCATGTTGGACCGAACACCCAAACCCTCACTCCTATTGAAGTAAGCAGTGTTTCTGATGTTACTCTTTTAAATCCAATGATATACTTAATACCTTATTTTTCACTTCATTGAAGAAAATTATGTTCCTGAAGCTTTTACAGAATTTTTAAGTTTACACTATTAGTATGATTGCGAGATTACAATATCCATATCTCTTTTTCATGAATAGTATTTAATCATGTTTTAATTACTAACTTTCAAGACCTACTTACGAATAAAATTTGATGATTACAGTGGATAACTCACTAAGAATATTAGCAGATAATCTCACTGTTAGGACTCACGACATAGCTCAGTGCTTTCATCTGGTGGTGGAATAACTTCTGGCACAGATGGTGACAACATCAAGGCTTTCGTAAAACCAGATTAGAATTTCTGGCCAATCAGAAATGGCATATTTGACTGGGTACATCAGGTTTCTAATGTTCATTGAAAGAGGTACTTTCCGATTCATTCGATACAACTACATAACAAGTCGGAAATGATCCCTCTATGACTGTGAAGTAGTCATACTGATACAATAAGGTCTCGGCCTTTTGGTTTGGTCATCCAGTTTTCGGTTTGTTTCATGTTAGATCAAAAGCAAAAAAACAAAAAACAATGGAGGACAACCAACTGACCGTAAATGTGAATTACTACGAGGTTAACACAAACTGATGAGTGACTCGTGAAAATGCTAGATCAAGATGCGCATGTCATTGTAACTCATTAAGAAAATAAATTTATTTAAAATTGAATAAAAAAGTACTAGGAATCTTGATAAAGTATTTGGGGTGGAGAAAAGATATTCTAATAGTCCAAGACACTTAGCTCTGATGTTTTTGAGGCGAGTGAGAGCCTCATAAACTTTTACTTTGTGGTCATTTGGTTTTCCTAAGTGCTTTAATGATCAGTGTGTACTGAAGCTGCTCTTTACATTTAATCTGACATAAAACAAAGTAATGGACGATACTTTAATGTGTCAGTATGACTTTAAGATAAACTCGTTATAGTCTATAGGAGTCATTTCAGACTTATTATCTATTCATACAGAATAAGTCAGAGAGTACCTTTGAATGAATATTAAAACCCCACAGAAACTGGTTTATCTCAATAAGAAAAGCTTTTTCTGATTGGTCAAAATTTATAATATGATTGTACAAGAACCATGATGGCGTCAACACCAATATCGGAACTTGTAGGCTTTGATGTGTAGTCATTTACGCCCCCACAAATAACCTAAATTACTTTAGGGAGTAGCAAATTGAAGAATAGATTGGACCTTTACGTCATCATGAATTCTTTTTTCTTTTTTTTTCTTCACTGGAATTACACATTTTGGTGAGAAACCCTAAATAATCATAAACAAATATCGCAATTTGTTCTCTCATCAGTGGACACAAATTATTTTAATTTGTTCTTGGCATTGGACGATTTTTGGGGGGGCTCAGAGTGGCTACGGGTAGGGAAATCTATCATACTGAAATCAAAAGTCCAATAAGTTTAGCCTCCCAACCATGCTACTTAACCTCTCCTCATAATAAATGGATTTTGTGTTTGTATTATCTTTAGTTTATCCAAGTTTATATATAACGATACCAAATACTCGTACCTTTACTCAGTATTACTATGTTGCAACATAATATCATATTTCTTAATATATGTACCGAAATCGGCTAAGTACCAGAGGTATCACGAAACTACAATCGTTTTTTTGATTTTTTTTACGATATATGTTTAAGTTTAAAAACAGCCATACAAACAACTACTTTCTCTGCTGAAATATGATTCTTCAGAACCTCTCATTAATAGGTTATTAATAATATTTTGAAAACGTCCACCTCAGCTAAGGTTTGCAATATTATTGTAAATATTGAATTTATTTAATATGAGGTAACAGCCCAGTGCGTATACGTTATTTCCTTCCAATAACTAGTTATCTATACACCTGGAAAAAAGTTAAGCACCCCCAAATATTTTTCAGAATTGCTTATTAAAAATAAGGTTTAA